TTCACACCCCATCACAAGCCAGCAAAACATCCACGAAACAAAGAAAGGTCTGTCACAGCCAAAAAATACACTCCAGACACGCCGCTGGCACTAGAGGCACAGCATGGCCATCGTACTAAAATATGAAAATAGAATAGAAACAGAAACTCCTATAATTCTATATTCGATTATGCTATAAATACTATAATGTTAGGAAATTTACATATGTCCTATCAATCATTCATACCAAAGGGAAATAGCAACAAAAGGAATATCATACGTCAATTCATATTGTATTACAATAATAATTATCATATTGTATATCTTTCACTTTGTTTAAAAAAAAAATGCTTTTAGGACCAAAGCAGATTGCTTCCCTTTGGAAGGATTGAAATTTTTAATTAGTTGAAAATATTAATTAGTTTTCACTGAATACTGATTTATTAATTCTTAGTCACAATTCCTTCTTCTTGTTCTTTTTCGAATCTTCTTCTTCTTCTTTGAATCTTCGTCTCCTTGTCCTCCTCCTCCTTCCAACTCCACCTCCTCCTCCTCCTTCTTCTTCTTCTTCTTCTTCTTCTTCTTCTGCTGCTGCTGCTGCTGCTGCTGCTGCTACTGCTTCTGCTTCTGCTTCTGCTTCTGCTTCTGCTTCTGCTTTTGCGTCCGGAATCATTGGAGCCACACAGTCACTGTGGCAGTGCAACACAAGATCAAGTGCCCCTCATCTGCAACTGGCCTACACATCCTGAATGAGTCGAGTGCCAAGCAGAAACACGAAACTACACTCCCTCCCAACTGCATTGTTGCTTGTTCTCACTGTCGATGCTGCTGTTTGCTGCTGGCTCCTTGCTTGCTGCTGCTGTTTGCTGCTTGCTTGCTTCCTGGCTTCCTTGCTTCCTTGCTTCCTTGCTTCCTTGCTTCCTTGCTTCCTTGCTTCCTTCCTGGCTTCCTTCCTGGCATCCTTCCTGGCTTCCTTCCTGGCCTCCTTCCTGGCTTCCTTCCTGGCTTCCTTCCTTCCTTCCTTGCTTGCTTGCTTGCTTTGCTTGCTGCTTGCTTGCTTGCTTGCTTTGCTTGCTGCTTGCTGCTTGCTTGCTTTGCTTGCTGCTTGCTGCTTGCT